TGTGTTAAAGTTGGCAGAGTGATGGTATAAACAGGTAACAAATTTCAATAGGATTGATCTAATGTCTTGGTGAGAATAAGATTGATGGTACAAACAGATACAGAATAGATGTCTTTTAACTTCTAAGAGCCACGTTTGGGTTGGATCTTATCCAAATCACAACTAATTTGAATGGGTTGGACAGTCCAATAAAATATATTGAATTGGATTGTCCAAAACATATATTATTGGATTGGATTGTATTTAGTCCTCTATAATGGATTTATATTAGATTAGGTAAAAGTTATTAAATCAATATCCAGTCCATTCATAAAAGATAAGAGTACGGATGTCAATAAATCAGATTTGGGTTGGATGCAATCTGAATTAAAACAATTTTCAATAGGTTGGACAGTTCAATAAGACATTGAATTAGACCAGTAATTCAATCCAAAATATTTATTTCAAAATATTTAAAGAATTGGATTAGACCTGATCAATTTTTTAAAATGAAGACTTTTTTTATTAAGGCTGCGTTTGGAAACGATGCAAATAAATGTGAATATAAATATGTAGAGTGTAAAACGGTTCATATAAATTGCAAAGTTGGGTTAGTTTTGCATTGACAAATTTACCTTCTTACCAAACAGACTTTTTAGCGGTAATGGATGCAAACATGACTTTCAATAAAGCATATGCTTTTTATTTTTATCAAAAGTCCACTTGAATGCAAATTTACTTCTTTTTTAATTGTACTTTTACATCTTATTATCAATGTAAATATGCATTGATCTTTCATTTGTCAATGCATAAATGTAATGTTGTCAAACATAGGCAAAAGTGAATTAGAGTACAAATTTACCCTGAATATTGTTCATGGGCTAGGCCGGGCTTTTACTCTGTATTAATAGATTCTTCTAAGGCCCGAGCCCGAGCCCGGCTCGACCATCGGGCCTGCAACTTGGGCCCGTGCCCGACCCTCATAAAAAGCCCGAAGCCTGGGCCTGGGCCCGAGCCCGAAATTTATCCCATGCTGTTACTACTGCTGAAGCGGCTGAATAGAGAGAGAGAGAGAGAGAGAGATTATAAAGAAAAAATGTATATATTAAATTATAAATATATATATATATATATTTCAATAAATATTATATTATTTATATATTTTATATAGTATATAAAATACACATTATATATTTTATAAAATATATAATGTTGAATCGGGCCGGGATTTTTTAACAAATCCCGAGCCCGGCCCAAAACACAGTCGGGCTTACTGTGTTTGTCCCGAGGTCAGGCCCACGGGCCTAATTACATGACCAAGCCCAACCGGGGTGCGGGCCTGGTCGGGCCAGGCCAGGCCATCGGGCTACCCGGCCCATGAACAGGTCTAACCCTGAACTGTGATTTACACTCCATTTGCATTGTTTCCAAATGCAGTCTAAGAAGGTGTACAAATACAAATTTGTAGAGTACAAAACTTTGTATTTTATATTATTTCGTATGTATTTGCACAGTCTATATTTGTATTTATATACTCCTACCAAACTGAGCCTAAGGATGGGCTTCTTTAGAATTATATGTATATTTAGAAATAGTTTTATCCAATCAAATATCTAAATATATAAATGAATCAAACAGTCCGACCGTCTGGTCCTAACAGACAACCCACATTGACAAAAAAAAATTAAAAATTAAAAATTTAGAAAACCTAAAAAAACAGCCAAAAACCGTTTTCGGGTCGAACGATTTAATAGTTCAACTACCCGGATCAACAATTTACTGACCAAATCAACAGTTTTAGGGTAAAACTAATGGCCGATTCCAAAATTTTTTGGTCCGACCATCCAATCCGATCTAGTTTTGAAAACATTAAATTCACGTACCCATGATGTCTCGTTCAGATATACCCCTATTTTAATTCAATCCATATTCCTTTTTTGCAGTCCCAGTGATAACTGACAAGCATGTGAGAACATGGATAGGAATGCTTGAGCAATCACTTTTGGGTGTGAAAATGTCAAAGGCCTCTAGTTATTTTTATGTGGTATAAAAGGCACTTTGGCTAAAGTGGAAAGAAACATGTACTCATAGAATTAATTCATAGCAGAGTTTAATTAATTGAAGGGAAAATTTTTTATTAGTACTTTGTACTTTAGGTCTAATGTCACTTTGGTCCTTGAAATTTAAAATGCTGAATTTTTATAATATGATAATTTAATACCTGAACTTTCATAATATGATAATGTAGTACTTATCGTTAATTAGTTGTTAATCAGCCGTTAATTGACATTTTAAAAAGACATAAATGTCTTTTGAGTGTCTTCTAATTTTCTTTATCAACTATTTAAACAATAACAAAAAAAAAATCTCAAATCCTTGCCTTTTTTATTCAAGAAAGTTGAAACCACCAAAATGTCCACTCAAACTTAACTTCAACTTTCTTAAATGGAAGAAACAAGGATTTGGAACTATTAGTTTTTTTTATTAATATTTGGTTAGTTGATAAAGAAAATTAAACGATGACACTTGAAGGATATTTCTGCCTTTTTAAAATGACAGGAATTGGATTGTTATATTTTAAAAATTCAGGTACTAAATTATCACATTTTAATGAATGTTTGAGGAACAAATTGAAACTAGACACAAAAGTACATGATTAATTAATTGAATGGCCAATTGGGTCTAGCAAGTCATCATATATAAGACATGATTAATTAATGCGTGATGCCAATTAAGTTATCTCTTGGCCATGGGTCTCATTCAGTATAATTCACCGTTACTGCTACTGCTACGTCTGTATTGTTCACATTGAATCCACATCAAAGAATATCGATCACATTGAATCCTCCATCAACGTTCAACTGAATAAGGTCGGGTTGGATAATTTATCGTAAAGTTTCTCCTTATTCTAACCTTTGACGTAAATTGATCTATATATGATCTAACCCAAACAATATTAATCAATGGTAATTGTTGATGAGGAAGGTGTGGAGACTCCCGCCTTCACCATCGATTGGGGAGGGCTACCTCAACCACCACCACCCTGAAAAGTGATCAAAATCACTCCTTCTGATGAGCTCTGCCGGTGGATGAAAGAGAATGGCGTTGGCCGCCATCGAAAGATACGAAAGGTTGGTAATATGGTTACCAAAATTCCTCGACAAATGTGTACTACTACAATAAATAAATGGTCGCAATGGAAGTTCCGGCCAAATTCCGATTTCCGACGGCAGAAGTCGCATACGCGTGGCTCTTTCCAACCAAAAACCCCACATGAATTGGGTTCATGGTTGTGCATGCATGTGGTGCATCATTTCCAAGTAGTGGAGCTAAGCTACCTCTACCTCTCCCTTCTTTCTCAATGCAGTGAGTCAGGGACCACTTTAACACTTCCACCCAAAAATTTTAAGGGATATTAGATCTCGCTTTTCAGGCTTTCACCTGAGCTCAACTCCGAGTTTTGGACGAGTCTGTTGCTCGCCTGCTGAGCCCGAGCCTTTAATCGGACTCTTACATTTGTTAAAATTTGGCATAATGCCATGCTTAATAGATTGGGTTGGGTTGGATTTGGTCTACACGGACACTGTTGTCGCCTGGGGTTCATCACCCACCACCTTATTTGTTATCGTGGGAACTCGGAAGGAACTCTGTACGTATTTCAAGTGTGAGAACTTATTAGATATGAGAGTTTGAAACGAAACAGAGAGTTTTCCGACGTAGAACTAGAAGCGAGGAACGGTGATCGACGAAATCCATAAAATCTTTGGCGCGCTTCTCGTTTCTCCCTTTTGCTTTTTGGTCTGACTGCGTTCATTTTCTTTTCTTTTTTTTTTTCCTTAATTCCTCTTTTCTCACCCCCCCCCCCTCTTCCCTCTTTTTTCATGGCATTAAGCAATGTTGTTGGAGATCGGCTTCCATCAGAACAAACAGCCTTTCTAAGTCCATGATTTGAACCAACCATCCGACCACGCCCCATCCCATCTAATGATCTAAACCCATAAAAAGATAACGAGCCCAGACTAAATTAAGCCTATAAGTACATTAAATAGGTCGGAGCTTATCTAATTTGTATCCCAATTCGATCTATATGACTGTTAGTTATTAAATATGATCTATAAATAATTTATGAATATAATATATTATTATACTATTTAAATAATATAACATATTATTTATATTATATCATAAAGTTTTTTTTATTATAATTCAAATTAAATTGAATTTGAATTAGATAATTAAATTCGAATTTGAATCATAATTTTGCAAAATTTGGTGAATTCTTATCAAATTTAGATTGGTCAAATTTTTTATCGAATCTAATTAATTGGATATACCCTTTACTAAATTCGATTCGATCCGTTTATAGCCCTATCAAACGGGCCATTTGATGACCACTTATTGCACTTCAAAAAAAAAATGATAACTTATTGAAAAGAATGATTTAATATTTTGTCTTTTTAGTAAATGAGTTTCTTAAAAGTTTGTGAGCTCCTTACTTAACGAAGCTGAAATTGGGTTAATTATTCTATTCAGTAAGCCAAAAGCAATAAGTCATTCAGTTCCGTCACCTCAGCTTTTTAATAAATGGAAACGGGCCACACCTTATGTTTTGGACCTTCCGGTTGACCCTGTGACCCAGCATTACAGTAAAAACCATTGACCGGTTTGTTTAAACCGTTGAATCATTTGACCTGACTATGGTTCATGGGTATTACAGCAACGAGAAGGTGAGAAACTTGATTGAGTATTTTCTGCATTTTTTTTATTTTTTAGCTATTTTTGTTATTAATAAAAATAGCTTATTTCTTGTTTTTATTTAATCAATGTGATGAATGTATAGATGCATGTCTATTTCTTTCTGCATTTTTGTTATTATATATATATATATATTTTTTTTTATAGTTTTCCTCTCGAAAATGACGATTAAGACCTTTTACTGATATTCATGATTTTTAAAAAACCATTGAACTTTTTAATGAAAAAAGGAATAAAGTGCAAAATAATGGGTAGCATTGGAGTTTGGAAATGTAAAAGCGAGGGCCGAGGGGAAAGTGTAATGAGAGCACCGAGCACGACCGGAGGAAGGCAAAAGCGAGCAGCTTTATTCTTCTCTTTAAAAGTTCGTTCCATCACCTCTTGTATTTTTATATATTTCTTCCTTTTTTTTTCTGTTGTCGAACTCGAGGTATCATCATCTGTTAGCGAGCTTTTTCGTGTGGGTTTGTTCTGAGTGAGATCTAGCATTGAAATCCATTCTGCATTAGAAAGCCAAGACATTCCTAGTGATTTCTTGCTTCGAGCACAAGTTTTAATGTCGGAGGAGCTTAGCTTTCCCGTAAACCAGCGCTTTAGGGTAGGGTTTCTTTCATCTGTCACCGGTGATTTGTATGTTTTTCTACTCAGAAAGCAGCTCAGCTCGGTGCTCTACTGCTCTTGCCTTCCTGGATTCTTCTTAGCTTAGGTCCGAAGGCGCTTCGGCTTCCAAGTTCGCTGTTGCCGAACGTTCTTTCGTTAATTTGTTTCTTTCTTCATCTGAACTCTTAGGATTTCCTGTTTGGTGAGTGGTGATCATCATTTGAGAAAGAGAATGGAAAGAGCAATCACTCGATAAGAAGATTCCTTATTTCTTCTGTTTCCGATCTAAAATGAGCTCGAGATTTCTACTAATTCGAATTTAGCTCAAGGCAACTACTTATTTCGGGTTCACCCACAAGAAGGAAAGAAAAAGAGTCACCTCTTCCACCATCTCCAAAACTAACAGACAACTAGACTGAAAGAAGTCTGTCGACCCAAGATATCTCAAGATTTAGAAGACAGATAAGGTAGCACTTAAATTTAGGCAGTTAGGCGTGCTCCGAGCAGGTTTTCGAAATACGACTAAACTGTTGATTCCCTCCCCTTTGATCTTTTACCTCGCCGCCCACACCTAAGTCCGTACAAAAATTTGGTTGGTTCTTTCCATTCTTCTCCTGTGAATCCTAAACTGTATTTAGGCCAGAAATCCTAAACTGCAAAAAACCATGGATGAAGTATTGGGTAAACCTACCATGATTTCTAGGGTTCTTCTTCGTTTGTTGTTCTTATCGTTTACATTGAATGTGGGTCTTGTCAGTAGATTAATTTATGAATATGACCATGAGAGAGGGAGTAGCAGCCTTCATACTACTGATGCAGAAGAAAAGCAGAGCTATACAGAGTTCTGTTTGGGAGAGGAGGCGAGCAAGAAGACGAGAGAGTCGACAACGATGTCTACTGCTGCAGCAGATCATGAGGCATACGTTAGCGAGAGCTCCCCTTCTTTGAGTACGGAAGCAGAAGAAGACGGCAAGGAGAAGGTTGTAAATCTCGATCAGTAAGTGCAGTCTCTTTCTTCCTCTCCTTTTTTGACGTCTTTATGCTTTTGTTCTTTTCTTCCTTTTTTTAGTTTCTTTTCTTTGAACTTTGCCGCATCTGTCTAACGTGCGCCGGGATGGGATTTTTGGAACCGGAGATGGCAAATTGGCAACTGGAGGGTTCGGTAATGGTTTGCGGAGCGGCAGGATGAGTAGCACGAAACATCGACTTAGGCAGTTAAACCAAAATTGTGAACTGTTTGCTAATCTGTTATGAGTTATGACCCTTAAACCACATGATAAGATTAATCGTAGCCCCGGAGTCCCGGACCGAAATAAAAAGGGAATGGATGGGTTTTAGCCGAGACAGAGAGATCTTCTCTGCCAACAGAATCAACCAAATCAGATGATTCTCGGCCCTGAATCTTGCAGTTCTTCTGCAGGCAGTGGAGGAGCATCCATTCAATAAAACTCCAAAAACATGTGGTACGAAGATCATCTCACTGACTCTTAGTGGGAGATCCATTTAGTGGTGGGTCTGGGTCTAGATCTTTTGTATGTGTCAAGAGGTTCTATGGGTCTTCTAGCACACCCAGCCCCCATGTCTACCAGCTAACCCTGTGATGACCTTTGAGAAATCTGCAGAAAATATGTAGTCGAGATGGTGGACACCGATAGGTGGAACATAGATTACTTGTGCTTGTCGTACTCGAGCAAACCGGCAAAGGCAAAAGAATCAATAAGGCTTTTAGAATCCACTTGAAATACCACCCATTGCCATGCCCCACCCTTGAATTGTTGCTATTTGGCTTTGAATGTTTTATGGACACTGCGCTCTTACCAAATCGCTACCCGCCAATGAAGAAAAGTAAAGGAATGAACTCAAGCCCTTGGCCCACCTAGTTGGAGTTGGTGACTGTTTGGCCATTAGAGATGGTCTTCTATTGCAAATTTAAATTACCAACGATAAATAAATGTTTCTTCCCTGCACAAGTTGTGGAGACAGTAAACCACAAATATGATTTGCACCTTTGGCCACCGAAGTTGTATGATCATAATGACAGGGTCGAGGATACTTCATGAGTTCATGTCCCTACCTTTTGCCTTCCATATCTTAGTAACTTTGGTTTCAAGTAATTTATTTTGATTTTCAGACATTAATCTAAAGTAGGGGTGCAAATCTGGTGCCACATCAAAATTTAACTAATGCTCAAACCAGACCCGCTCAAGTTGTGCCTGTTTATGAGCATGTTACTGGATCAAAATTGTGGTTGGATTGAACCCAAAAAGCATTACAGCAAGCAAGATTCTAATTCTAACAAATAATTTTATACAGTGGCGATCCAACTATGTATGAACAGTTTTGGCAAAACATGGGGGACAAAAGTATGGTTGTTATCTCTGGATGGCAATCAATGAGCTATTTTTCCGATATTGGAAATATTTGCTGGTTCTTAGAGCCTGAATTCGCAAAAGAGGTCAGAAGATTGCACCAACTAGTTGGAAATGCTGTAACCAGAGATCATCATATTGTTGTGGGGACAGGTTCAACACAACTGTTTCAAGCAGCACTGTATGCTCTCTCTTCATCAGGTGCATTTGAGCCTGTCAACGTGGTGTCTGCTGCTCCTTACTACTCAGTGAGTTCCTTTTTTTTCTGTGAACAACTTTAGCTCTTAAAGCATCAGAAACTCACTTATGTTGTTTCCAAATTAATTGGTTTTATCTTAATTTAGAAAGGGCTATTAAGATTAAAAAAAATGATGGATCTGGATGCCCAAGTTTTTGGGAGCAGTGGACTGGATTTGGATAATTGGGCCCAATGTTTGGCATTGTCTTGCACAAAGTGTTTGCTTTCACATTTAAAACCATGATCTCACACTTATTGTCCTGAGATTCTATAATAGCACCGAGCAATGGATGATACAATACTAAATTTGATTTAATTTGTTGTTGATGAATAGATTTCTTGTGTTTTAAGAGATCTGTTACAAGCAAAATGGGCCACAATTGTATTTGACCATATATCTTCGGTACATCAGTGTTATTGATATTTCATGTACAGCTAATATAATCTCACTTGTATTCAAATTATCAGGACATGTAGAAATCTAAGTTGTTTGTAAATTTTGCTTGTTCACTAGGGTTGTACTTTGTTGCATGGAGAATAGTGAAATTTCACAGGGGTTCATTTGTGGATGTAGTCACAAATTGCCGAACCACATTGAATCTTGTGTAGTCTTCCTTGTGTTTGCATTCTATTTTGTCTTTTCTCTGTTTCTGTAATAAGTATTGTCCAAAAATCAAGCATTATCACTTGCTGACACATTAATACCTGCATTGCTATACAATAGATGATCGAATGTTATAATGGATAGCTCTAGGTTTCATTGAATCAGATGTCATGAAGTCAGTAATTCTAAAATCTTCTATTAACAACGTATATTTGATTGGAAACACTATAAAAAAGAAGATTGAGCATCTAAACTTATGATTATATTTCCTTATTAGATTAAATCTCTTTGTATTTTTTTTTGATGAATAATAGAATCTCTGTGTATTGTAGAATTGAAAAATCTGATAGTGCCAGGCTTCAGGTGTTTTGGTCTGATTATGGCCTACAATAAACAAATTTGTTATACAAAAACAAATCTTAGTGAGCTTACCTTATTTTTCCAGAGGAATTCTTAGAGAATGGATGCCTTGGTTCTCCTTGCTTGAGACCCCTTGGAACTCTTTCCGAAGTGCATAAAGGATTCTTATTGAGAGGAGTCAAGCTGTTCTACTGACTCAAACTCTTCAAGTTCATAGCCATAACCCATTTGAACTGTTCAAGCTCATCCTATGAGGGCTAAGCATTGCACTCTTTATTGGTATCTGCATGGATATGCTGGATTGGGTCCAACAATATTGCTTATCAAAGGAAAGAAGACCTGATTATCCTTCTGATATTCCCCCATTGTGCATCTCTTGTTATCTTGCATATGCCAAATATCCATTATACTTCAGGATTCCTAAGATGAAACCAGTGTTTATACTGTCGTGGTTTAACAAGGTGAAAGCACCCTTGTGATTTCCATTGAAGACTAGCAGGACTATCAACAGCCTTTGTGTTAAAAGATATGCATGCCTAGTGTGCTGATGTTGGTTATGATAACTGGATACTTCTAGATGTACTACAATGCATTTGACACTTAAAATATGTAAAATGGTATACTTTAACAAATTATACTGTAATTCATTTTTACATGTTAAAATTTAATTTTGACCAGACACAAGTCTTGATAAATGACATTTACCTTCAGAAACAAGATATAATGCATGACACCAGCATATTACATTGGGATACCCATACATGATTTTAGGAAATGGGAGTCATATCCTCTTTACCCTTACATGACACAAAGCATATTACATAGGATACAGACACCTGTATCCATGCCCATGATTGTAGGAAATGGAAGTTCTATCCTTGTTTCCCATATCCATGTCCATGTCTATCAGGGCATCAATGGGTAGGGGTGTCAATCAACCAGTTTTGGATTGGGCCAATTCAAAATAAATTGGTCCATATTCTTATTGGTCTGAATTGGACCTAAACCAAATTTCTAATAGCCCAAACCCTTGTTCAATTTGAAACCAATCAAAATTGAAGCAAGCATAAAACCACTTTTATGAAAGTACTTTTATGAAAGCACTTTTATGAAAATACTTTTACAAAGTACTTTTATAATAGTATTTTTATGAAAAGTTTTTTTATGAAAGCACTTTTATGGAAGTACTTTTATAAAAACACTTTTACAAAAGCACTTTTATGAAAGCACTTTTATGAAGTACTTTTATAAAAGCATTTTATGAAAGTACTTTTATAAAAGCACTTCTACGGAAGTACTTTTATAAAAGCACTTCTACGGAAGTACTTTTATAAAAGTACTTCTACAAAAGTACTTTTGAAAGTACTTTTATAAAAGTACTTCTACAAAAGCACTTTTGTGAAGTACTTTCATAAAAGTGCTTTTTCAATGCCAAAAGGGTATATTTTTGTAATATTCAGATTTTCTTCATTTTAATATATTTTTGTAATTTTTTATATGTTCTGTTTTTTTATATATAATTTTTGATATTTCATTCGGTTTGGATTGGATCCAATCCAGTCCATTTACATTTTAATGGATTGGATTGGATTTGGACTGGATTGGGTCTAGTCCATTTGTAAGTGGACTCACATTGGACTGGACCATATTGGACCAAATCCAGTCCAATTGACACCTCTATCAATTGGTGAAAGTTAATAGGTCATTTATACAGTGTTCTGAGTGATAAGGCATGTTATTCTTCTTATCTGTGCTAAGAATAAGCATGATTTTCATGTTTGTATTGGCATCTCACTGATATATTCCTTCACTTCATATTTGTGTGCCCTGATTCTCTCCAGCCCAGCCAATAATGAAATCGAGTTGATCTTGTGAGTGATGTTTTTACTTTAGTTAGTAGTTTAGTACAGGCGTGGCCCAGTCTGGAACATTTTCAAAAAAAAAAGATTTGGAGTTTTTGTTGGAGTTATAAGATCAAGCCTTCTCTCTGATACATTGGGTCTTGGGCATTCTGGCATGGAATAACAGTACTAATTTCATCCTTCCCTGGACTTTTGGGCCTGGAGGTGTTCGCAATAGGCTATAAAGGAGGCTTTTCCATGACTTTAGTTAGCGAGATCCTTGTTCCTTGAATTGCTTGTTTTTAGAAACATTTGGTATTGTTTCCTTTCATCCCTAACTGACAAGAAATCGTCTGTGCTAATTTGTCATGCTTACAGTCCTACCCATCAGTGACAGACTACCTGAAATCAGGGCTCTATAAATGGGCCGGTGATGCTTATTCCTTCAAAGGAGATGAGCCTTACATAGAACTTGTTACATCTCCAAACAACCCTGATGGCTTTATGAGGCAAGCTGTGGTTAACCGCAATGGTGGGGTAGTGGTACATGACCTTGCATACTACTGGCCACATTATACTCCAATTACATATCTTGCAAATCATGACATCATGCTTTTCACCGTCTCCAAATGCACAGGTCATGCAGGGACGCGCATTGGGTAAGCTACTCTTATTCCTTCAATGATTATATTCCATATTGTCATCTTTTGATGATATTGAACATTAGTGCACAATCGCGTAGATTGTAGCAAGTTGAAATATATTGATTTGATCCCAATAATGTCAGAGAACACATGTTAATCTTGCAGGTGGGCTCTTGTTAAGGACAAGGAGATAGCAAAAAAGATGACCAAATTCATAGAGCTGAATACCATAGGTGTATCAAAGGACTCGCAGCTCCGGGCAGCAAAAATCCTCCAGGTGGTATCTGATAGCTGTGAACATTTGAACTCCCGTGAAGATTCCAAGAACTTCTTCAGGCATGCTAGTCGTCTCATGGCTGAGAGATGGGACCGATTAAGAGACGCAGTTAGACAAAGTGGGCTGTTTAGTCTTCCAGAGTTCATGCCTGAATCCTGCAACTACTTCGGCGAGGCAAATACACCACATCCTGGTAATAACATTGTAATTTGTTAATAGGATCGTTGATTTAATTTTAGAGATAATGTTAGTAACCACATTGCTTCTTCCCATGCAGCATTTGCTTGGTCGAAATGTGAGGGGGGAATAGAAGATTGTGAAAGCTTTCTTAGAGGTTATAATATCATAACGAGGAGCGGGAAGCATTTTGGCGCTGAAGCCAAGTACGTTAGAATTAGCATGTTGGATCGAGAACAGACGTTTAACCTCTTTGTAAAGAGGCTGTCAAATATCAGTTTATAAATTATCAGTTATAACAGCTCTTGTCAGTTGTCACTACTGTGGGACATTCGTGCTTACATTTTACTCGGAAAGAAAAGTCGTTTCATGTATGTGATGGTGTTGTTCGTAGCATAGCATACATAAACCCTTCTGTAGGCGTTTAGTTGATTTTCATACAATATTATAATGTAGGTTGTCATAAATCATAAATGATAAAAGCTACGTTGTCAACCCCAAAACCCACCTTGAAGTTCTTCCTTTTTTCGTTGATAGTTGTTTGGCCATTAATTGTATCATCATTCATTATATCCGAAAATTAGGCATGAAGCAAGTTGTATTGAAGGACGAAATTTGAGTTTGGGTTTTATCACTGAAGGAACTGTTACGTTTAACCTATGAACTTGAGTACTTAACCAGTTAGCTGAGGTCTCTGAATACATATAGTCTTTGGCATAAGCCACTCATACCTTGGCGCTGAAATTTAATTAATTAGAATGGAATAATCAAGATAAAAACACTTGGTCAATAAGCTGTGATTACCATTAAATGAAACTGGTCAACTTAAAAGCTTAAACTATTAGGCAAGGTCCTTACTCCCTATTCTCTAGCATTATTTATAATTTTTCATTACCACCAATTGTTTCTTTGGTAAAATACTACCTCGTGAAAAATGTGAGGATATAATGATATTTATAGTTGTCGTCAACCCATCTTAACAATCGTTGTAGTAAAATTTTACTCCGAAAATGGTCTGATACTGATAGTATGACTGATGAGTTGGGGTTTTGTCTGGTTCTGAAATGGAATTTATTTTTTTACTTTTTGTTTTTTATTGGAATGGGTTTGTAATTCTAAAACCACAAACTTCCGTTCTTCACTTCTTTGTATGTTCTAAAATCTATTTCAAAATCAGCTTTTGCCAATGCAACCATCATGGGTGCCGGTTATCATCTAATCGTTATTCATATGATTTTTTTTCATGCATGAAATACATTCTCTTTTTTTAGGTTGTATAATTACACACACGAGCCATCAAATTAGCTACGGACACTCAAGTGGATTGCACAGTTTTCACTTGAAAAATAATAGGGCCCAGGCCCCTTTTTTCTCCACCCCAGTGCCCCACCCTAGTTTTTTCAACCACTTACCGAGCACCACCTTCATCTTTCTACTAAGGCCCGTTCGTTTTTTAGTAAATGGAGGGGAGTTAGTAAATGGGGTTGTGGTTCCGTTTACCATCAATCTCATTTTTTTTTTTTAATTTTCTGTGGACTTCATGATAAATTTCTATTCTTTAGGTATATCCATCTTTCATGTGTTTCATCTAGGAAAAAGTTGATAAAATGTAATAGGATAAAATTGTCTCTTTTAATAATCACATTTTTTGAATAAAAAGGTTATTGTTTAATTTACCTGAGAAATACTTTTTGTTCATCAAAATGTAATGAGACCAAATTGAATTTACACGGGTAAGTGCATAACTTCCTAAAAACTGAATGGGACCTAATAGGAGACTGTCTCAAACTTGTTTGCAAGGTTCAAAGTATCGATACTGGCCGATACGCCGGTCAGGCATATTGGCCTATATCAGTCCTTTTTTTTAACTTTTACTTATTTTTCTCGATTTTGATTTAGAGGGGCTGGTTTAAGTCTTGGCTACCCTCTAAACCAGGCCCTGACCCGATACAACCCCTGTAGGGGCATATCAGGAAGGGCCCGATATGATACATATCGGCCGAAACGTAACGATTTTTTGAACCTTGCTTGTTTGTGGTACAATGATCATATATCTATCTGAAAGTGTATATATCATGAATTCATGACCATGATCTCGTCATTGTCCTATGACTATAAATAAAGCACAAATATGTTAAGGCTTGTTTTGTAACGTGGATGAGAAATTGGTGGATGTCAATTAATCCACACCACACCACTATTTGTAGTTGTTTTGGACTGTGGATAAAAATGTGTGGACTAAATTTGTGCACACCCACATGGATATTCTACACACTATAACCATAAATGTTGATTCCATACATCTCATATACAACTTGTTGAATAATCTACATAGTCAATTATAAATGAAAAATTCATATATTTTAGGCACAAATAATTTGGAATAATAATACAAAATAATCATGGATAAAAATAAAATACCAATACATAATTATCAATAAATATAAAAATACATTTGTCTAGATCAATGGTCCAAGTGAAACATTTCATAGAAATCTTATGAAATTTCAAACTCAAGTTCTACTTGAAATGATCCAGTTAATTTCCTCGCCCAAGCAAATAACAAAATTTTCATACAAGGCATCAATGAAAAACAGAAACAAAACAAATATAATAAGGTAAACATACCTTTGGAAGAACTATTGTCGGACCAGCTGCAACGGATGGAAGAGGGTGCAAATATTAAAAACAAAAATCACCTCTCTTGGTTGAGAACAATAGATCGAGAAGAGAAGAGAAGAGAAGAAATAGAGGAAGAGAATGATACCTACTATAATCGGTTTCAATAATGAAATGTGTCATAGTGACGAATTGGTTCAGGCGTTGCACTGAATTATATTCATGGGTTGTCCACACCATAGATCGGTTTCAAACATGATATTTTGTGGTGTGGTTGTCCCTATCCACAAAATATTGTGGATGGGGAGAGTCCATATATCAAACCGAATGTATGATTATCCCATAAACGATTTCGTCCCTGAAATAATCACGAATCCAAACGACACCTTAATAACTCAAGAATAAAGAACATGAGATTCATATCTACTACAACTCTATCATCTATTTGTCTTAAATCCGAAACCATATATAAGGACGTCAATGGACCAGTTTTGGATTGGAACCCGTCCGGTCCAAAATCAATTTGGACGGATCAACAAGATATATTGGATTGGACCAATCTGGTATTTAATTATTAGATTGGATTGGACTTGATCCATCTGTAATACATTTATATTGGATTGGATTAAGCCAATACCTGATCTATTAATAATATAAGATAAGAATATACGTATCAATGGACTAAGTTTGGATTAAAACCAATCTAAACCAAAACAAATTCCAACAGATTAAACGGTCTAAACATTCAATTGAACAGGTCCAAAATGATCCAAAATGTTCATTGGATTGAATTGGATCTGGTCCATTTATAATGTATTCAAAATACAGTCTAATTGACACCCCTAACCATATATATCCGTGTTCTGTTGGTCAGTCAAAACTGATCACAACTCACAAGAATGTGGACCAAATTCAATGCACATAACCTACACTGGTGCTTTGCATTTGCAGCAAGTGGCAATGATGTCTATGTTTCATACTTTTATACTTTATATGTTGGATCGTCTCAAGACAGTAATGAGAGACGATTGTAGCAGTCAATGCGGAGTCAATTTTACCAACCAGCTGGGTGATAGCTTTGTGATGTTTGTGTTTGGGATGAGATGGTGCGAGAAGCCCGAAGATCAAGGCATTGTAGCTAGTGCGTATTTTCCCAAGAGTCCAAACTTCAAAGTATGGATATGTATCGTACGTATTGATTTTCAAAACAGATGTAACATGATGAAGTAGGACGTATATATCTAGGTTTTTGAACCTTTCTTCTGCATTTGGGAGTATCAATTTTTAGAATAACTCAAAATATATAACATTCAAATTCAAACGAGTAATCAGGAAGAATCAATATATACTTGGAACAATGAAGAGCCAATATTGGGGCTTGAAATCGCATGTTGACATGTGACGAATGGACTAACTTATTCAGATATATTTGGTTGGGTGGTTGGTTGTAGTGGAGGAATGTGTTGCAAGCAAAAGCTATATATGCATTAATTCTGAAACAACGGGCATCCTGATTCCTATAAATTTAATATTTTATGTACAAGTCGATATTTCTGATATGTGACGGACGGGAACGCTGCAACTGCATGCATAAAATTTTGAGTAATTTGAATTCAGTATGTCATCCGTAGAGTTCATGTCAGACATCAGTGTCAAAGACAAAAGATCCTCAATTTACGAGGGAGGATAGTGTAATCTGTCGAGAAAATATACCTAATTAATTTGCTACCACTTTTATAATATAATTCCAATTAATTGGTCATATAGAGTCCAACCTAATTAAAGACACAGCTACCTACAGGCACCATTGTGTGGCCCGATTTGCCTAATACAAAGTGGCTGAGGGAATTTAACTGTGGGTGCTTTTCTCCAACTTCCAACATCCTTTCACTTTTTACAAATGCTTACAAAACCCAACAACACAATATCTATTTGTTAGTTGGTATATTTGTATTTGCAGGGTTGAAGTCTGGCAGGACTATTCCTTAAAGAAGCATCTTATTATATATTTACGAAGAAAAATTATAGTTATTTTTAAGGTCAATCTCTTAAATTATTTCTTCATTGACTGGATTCCAGATGGAAGCTCACCTGATAGTTTGTTATTGTGAAGATCGAGCGTGCTCAGCTCACTCAGCTTCACCAACGTCGCAGGTAGACTTTCGGAAAGTAGATTATATCCACCAGAAAACTCAACAAGATTCCCCAACGATCCTATCTCTTCCGGTATGTTTCCAGTGAACTGGTTGTCTGATATGAGCAGAAGTGAAAGATTAGAGGCACCGGAGATCGTCTTAGACATGCTACCAGAAAAAGGCATTTTCAGCAAAGAGACATGAGGTAGACCCCAAAACGCCGCCGGAACTTCACCGGCTAACTTGTTATTCGACAAACGAACTCTACACAAGCTTCGGCATTGACCAAGGCTCTCTGGAATTTTTCCGTATAACGAATTATGAATCAACAGGAGCTGTTCTACCGCCCCCATGGCACACAAGTTCGCTGGAATTTCACCGGAAAAGTTATTCTGCGAAGCATCCAAGGATACCAACTTGGAACTCTTTCCGAGATCCTTGGGCAATTCTCCGGTAAGCCGGTTATTAAAAAGTTTGACCTCATACAGTTTCGGTGACAGAGCAATACTTGCCGGAACGGTTCCCACCAAACGGTTCTCGTACAATTTCAGCGACTCGAGCGGCAAGCTACACAGCTCATACGGAATCGTTCCCTCCAAATGGTTCATGGCGGCATCGAATCTAAGTAACGCGGTCATCTTCGACATCCCCTTCGGCAGGGAACC